GGTATTTCCATTGTTTCAAGTTCTATTAAAAAGGAAAAATTCTAATATCGGGGGTTTATAGTAAAGCAACCTGCTAAAAAACTTGATATGAAACCCAATTTTAACTACAATAACATTTATTAACAAGTATAAATTAATGAACAAGTATAAATGAAAGTACATTTGGGAATTTAACTGGGCCACGCATCAAATTTGAAAACAAAAATTGAAAACAGTTATGAGTCTTGCAAGACCCGCAGGAAAAGTGCGAGTCTTGCACGTGAAATAAGAAATTGCGAGCACTTGCGAGAACGAGAATTTGCGAGACGAGACAAAGCGAGCATCTGCGAGCGCGAGACGAGACAAGCATTTATGCGAGACAAGACAAGACAGTCGAGACGAGACAAAAACAAGAAGTTGCGAGTCATGCAAGAAATTTCTCGCGAGACGACACTCTAGAGAAGAAGCAGGAAAAGGATTCGGAAGGTTGTTCCGGAGTGAAAAAAAGAAGAAGAAAACGGAGAAAATGGGGAGAAGAAAAAAGAGAAGAAGAAGATGGATGACGTCAGGAAACTGAAAAAAAAAGGAATAGAATATTCACATCAGAGAATGTCGGGATTGGTGGCCTAGGAATCGAGTTTGATGGCTCAGAAATCTACTTTGATGGCCTAAAAATGGCCTTTTAGAAATATTTTTTGGAATAAGATGGCATAGAAAACCAAAACTTCAAAAATCCTAGTCCATTACTTTGCTCTCGCTGAGCATTAGATACAAAACAATATTTACAAATGTGACTTCTAACTTTCGAAACGAAAAGTTCAAATTACTGGACTCTCTTCCCTAACTAACCACATGTGTCTCTCATCTTTAATTCTTCCCATCTCTGGGTCTCTCACTTTCCCATACTCTCTCACTGATCTCTTTTCGATAAGAGTTTTCGGATCAGAAAGAGGAATCAGTGTAATAATCAGTTACGCGTACATCTTTCGTCGGCACAAGAGAGAGATGGATAATGTTTATGGATTTATCTATTGGAATGGATGACCACGAGAAAGAGAAAAAGATTCATAATTCATAGATCTCATGGGATAAGAAAACAAAAGAAAGAATAAAGAGAAATATATTCTTGTCGGTCATATTATAGAGATTTATTGGTCAGTTGTCCAGGTGATCTTGAGGAATTTTAGAGGAAATAAATTGTCACACATTTTAGCTCTGAATGATTACTCTATTTCGTCTAATAAAAGCCCATCCATACCGTCAGCTCAATTATCTCGGTTCCCATCAGAGATATCAGAAATTTGCCAACTGATAAAATATTGATGATATTTTGATAAGAAATTTATCCGCTGACAACTTTTTGATATCGTCTACAGATAATGAGATAAATCGGCTCACAGTTAGAAGCTCTTTTCACAGGTTTTATGGGTTTCCAAAATATTTGCAATGTTTACTGAAGGTGTAAATTTTTAAATGTCCACAAAGTGAGTTTTTAGATATTTGAGTAAATTTGAAATATAATTATTAGAAATTATAAAGTACGGAAACAACAAAATTTTAAAAGGTCTTTCTATCAAATAAGCCTACTAACAATAACAAAAAAATTTACAATAACAAAAAAATTAGAGAACTAAGGCCAAAATCCCAAATAACCAAAAAATCCAAATAAGGTTTTCCAGCAATTACTATTAAAACCAAAAGACAGACACACAGACAGTCGCACTCCCTCCAAAAACAACAACAACATCTATCTCATCTGATTCCACCTGAATCTCATCCGAACAACAAAGTCATCAAAACGGATTGTAACGAGAATCCAAAGTGACACGTGGAGAGAGTACTTGTTTGTGTACTGGATACGCTCACAAATGACAGGATAAAGTGACGGCTGGGAGTGCGAAGGAAAGAAGAAGAACATGTCTTTTGCAACCCAATTTTTTGACAGGTGGCCGAGGGGAAAGAGTAAGTCTTCGGTATGTGCATCCATGTGTCCAGATGTCGGCTTTGTGGCAAAGTGGACCAAATTAGTACCCATTAGTCTTGCTAATTGGGATTGACATTTTGGAACATGCCTCTTTTCCATTTTTCCTATTTTTACATTTTGTATTATCCTATATGCGAATCCTCCAATTTTTAAGTATCCTTTGGCTTCCTATTGGCGTTTCCAACGCTTATAAAATTGGTATGCAAGTTTGCTCTAATACAAAATTTTTGAAATTTATAATTTCCCAGCTGTCCCTGCCAATCTTATCGATGAAATCAACCCGGTGCTAGAATTTGTGGACTTTCGAGTTCAAGTGATTCCTTACGAAACCAAACCGTTGTGGAGGATAAAACAAGAAAGTAGGAGTATTTCTTGAAAAAAAAAGCAATATCGCTCTACTATACTTTTTTCAGTATGCAACTGTTTGGCTCTCGGTGCATCGGCTGTAATTCTTCCGGAACAATATGAAGGGCATATGGCAGCAGCGGCAATAGTTCAGGTGAGCTTGAATCCAAATTTATCAAAAACGGAACGAGCTAGAAAATGACCTAAATTTTGTAGTTGAAGTTTTTGATCGCAGTTATAGTTTCGAGATATACGGTACCCTATATATCATATTTTGACTATTGCGACCAAAAATAGTCAACTGAAAATTAGTCATCTTGAAAATTTAAGAGAGCAAAGAATTTCACACATAATGATCAAAAAATCAACTTTCTAGCTAGGTTTTGAATCGACCTATGAGGATTGTGGTCTGATTGAGCTGATTTTTAGTTTATTTTAAAGATTTAAGTTACAGTAATCTGTGGAATACACACCTGTGCAACCAAAGTTCTTAATTCGACAACGAACTTTCCAACTTGAATGATTTCGGTATCAAAACAACACATTACAAATTCTACTTCTTCCAGAGCATAGCTGACAACACAAACGTCCCATGTGTTAGTCTCCATTTATCACCTCCAACTCGTCCATCAACCCATCTTCACCCTCATCTTAACGCCAAATCCCTGGCTGTTGCTGCATTTATAAAACGCGAAAAATGGAAGGATGTAGTGGTGGTGTTCGATGAAGCTGATGAACTTCTCGAAGTTACTGATATGATAACAGCCGGACATTTTGACCCCGATTCGTTTTCTTCTCAATTGGTTCGATTGAAACACGGTGATGATTATGGGAATGAGTTGAAGCATATTAAGAATAAATTGGGTTAGTACATAGTTGCCATAAACTTAAGTTTTGATGGTTTCAAAGTTTAGACCGGTACCGCATCGTCATCAATATCCCATTGCCGCGAGCTCTTCACTTTTTGGAACAGGCTGCCAATATGTCAATGTGTGGGGTTTTGTATCATTATGTGGTTATGGATATGGTAGGTCAAGTCAAGTACTGTATCAAACCAAAAATATCATAGTTGCAACGGGCCGGGCCGGGCTGGTAGACAAATTTTCTCGGCCCGGCCCGACCCCGGGCCGGCCCGCCTACCACTGTTGAAAATTTTCCACTGAAAATTTGGGAAATTTTTTTGAATTAAGAAAGAAAAAAGGTTGCATTATTCAACAAAATTAACAAAGTAAGAAATAATCGAAAAATAGGTCGTTTTTGTCTAAATTTTTGAAAAAAATAAAAAATTTTCGAAAAAAATTCAAAAAATATCAACGTCTGTAGGTACCCCGGGCCGGCCGGGCCGGGCCGGGCCTGGCCGGCACTTCATCGGCCCGGCCCGCCAAAATTCTCGACGGGCCGGCCCGTGATTTGGCAACTATGAAAAATATATCGACTTTTCCGGTGTCAACATTGAAGCCAGTCTTGAAAAAAGTAGTCCAGAGTTTTTCGATTTTTCTGAGAGCTTCACAATATACTGAACAAAAATAGACCTTCATTTGCGTAATTGACAAGCTTTTGATTAAAATTCAATGAACAGTTTTAAAGTGGCATAACTATTCTTGGTTACAAATGCCATATCTTATCAGGATGGAATTTGGCAAAAATGTAGTCAATTACAAAAATGAAGCATAAATCTTGTTTAGTGGACTTTGAAATTTTCAGACAAATTGAAAAATTCCCCATATGGATTCTATCAGACAAGCCATACCGGGTGATATCCAACAAACAAACAAATATTTCGCTTAGGATCTGGTAACAGTGGATTTGGATAGTATCAGAGGGATTGAGGATTGCAATATCACTTCATTTGGTGTTCATGATGTGAATTCTGAGTTTATCGAAGATGTCAGACAAGAAATTGTTCATAAATCCTCGATTCGACTTCCGAAGAAAGGAGTTCCGGTAAGAATATAGATACCGTAAACACTTTGATAGAAGCCCCACCCCTTGCATTTTTAGGTCAATTATCTCAATTCCTGTAAGAGATATCAAAAATCCGCCAACTGGTTAAAAGTTTGTCATAATATCACCAACATTTTTTTTTCAATCGACGCGTTTTCATTATTTTTCACAGAAACCGAGATAATTGAGCTAGAAGTGCAAGTATTGGGTCGCCTTCTAATTGAGTGCTCGCGGTAAATTGGAATTTCGGAACTTTCAAATCGAAGTTAAATGAAATTCAGAAATCAAAAATTTGGAAAATAAGAAAAGTTCCTTTTCAGTATACGACATCGATTTGGATTGATACACTCCGTCTCCTCATCAGATCCATGAAATCCATTCACATCTGGGAGGAACCACGGTGTGGAGAGACTTGGAAAGCTGGCAGTGACATCAAGAAGAAATTCTTTGAGACTCCGTTATCTGGTATTTCTGGAGACTTGCATTGGGCACCATCTGGAGAGAGATCCAATTACACTTTGCATGTCTATAGGAGAAAGTTAAGTGAGTTTGTTAACCAAACTTTTAAGATCTCGGCTGAAATTTCAGCATATCAAAAATTCGCCGAGTGGAGTAGTCGTACCAGACGAATCGCATCTTCTGAAGCTGTCGTAATTGCTAATTCTACTGAGAAGTTAACATTGGAAGGGAAGCATCTGAAGATTTCTGTCTACCTGGAAGCTCCGTTTGTGATGATGACATCGAATGGATCCTACGAGGGATACTGTATCGATTTATTGCATGTAGGTCAATCGACAGTAATCCTCAAGACTCAAGAAATTTTAGAAGATCGCAAATATCCTAAAATTCACATTTACCATTCAAAAGGTGCGAGATAACGCGTATGGCTCGAAAGAGTCGAATGGGAAATGGAGTGGAATGGTTGGAGAGTTACAGAGAGGGGTAAAGCTGAAAATATGAGAAAAGGTTACAGTAGTTTTTTAGGATGCTGATCTCGCGGTAGCTTCCTTAACCATCAGCTATGGTCGATCGGAGGTGATCGATTTCACAGTTCCCTATATGCATTTGGGAATTTCGATTTTGTTTAAGGTTAGCAGAAAATTTGACTTTGAAAATTGGCGCTTTCAGAAACCTCGAATCACCGATTCCGACTGGTTCAAGTTTATGGATCCGTTGAGTACTCAAGTTTGGATTATGACGTTCGCAAGTTATTTTGTGGTATCAGTGGCGATTTGGATTATAGCCAAGTGAGTAGCTTGCAACCGCGTCTCTCAGGTCTCACCCTCCTTTTTATATATCCCATGGTACCTCCAAATTCCAAAAAATCTTCTAGAATAAGTCCGTATGAACAATTCGAGCGAGACGAGGACAACGGGCAGTACAAACCAGTGGACAATCAATTTTCGCTCCGAAACTCTTTTTGGTTTACAGTATGCTCCTTGATGCAACAGGTAAGGTACCTTAGCAAGTGCGCTCCATTGAGAAACACTGTCGGAAACAGGTCGGGGGTTCTAGCCGTGGACCAAACCGTCCATTCTTTCGGAAATAGGCTCAGGCCACCGAGTCCTTCCCATCCGAATCCTTCCCATATCCTAACCAAAAAGCCACAGCCTTCATTGTGAGAAAAAAAATTACAGGGAAGTGAACTGTGCCCTCGTGCAGCATCGACTCGTCTTCTCACAGCGATCTGGTGGTTTTTCGCTCTAATTCTTATTTCTTCCTACACCGCCAATTTGGCTGCAGTACTGACGACAAGACGAATGGAGACACCGATCGAGAATGCTGACGACTTGGCGGGACAGACGAAAATTAAATATGGAACACTGGGAAGAGGATCGACCATGTCGTTTTTCAATGTAAAGCAGCTACTGAGAAACTTAACTGGTCGGATAATTTCAGGAATCCAAAATCGAGACATATGAACGAATGTGGCAACTGATGTCCAGTTCTCCGGGACTTTTTGTGCAGTCTTCAAAAGAGGGAATCGCGAGGGTCAAGGTGGGTAAAACTTTTTTCAGAGATTCATTTTTATTTCGATGTATTCCCTACAAAAATCCTTTTCATTTTTGATAATTTCTTCGATGAAGTAATCTTCATTGTTTTCAAAATTAATTTAATAAGTAAGTCGAAGTTCTCTAAATACAAAGTCTTGATGTAGCTGACACAAAAATATTCAAAAAATTTGGAACGCTTCACGAATTTGCGTGTCATCCTTGCGCAGGGGCCATGCTAATCTTCTCTGTATTGTTCCAATTTTAGTATATGTTCTCGGAAGAACAAACACACAAAACAGGGGTTCACTTATATAGGGATGTCTGGGAGAGCAGCCGACATCTCACGACTTACGCCATCCACTATACCATGGGGATGGAGGAAGGTGTTCTCGTGGGAAGATGGAGGATCTCTCCTTCACAATCTTGATCTTTTTTTTCGTTTTGTTATAATCTTTTCAGAGCTCAGACTATGCATATTTGATGGAATCCTCAATGTTAGAATACGCGGTGGAGCGTGATTGTGAATTGATGCAAATCGGTGGACTGATTGATCAAAAAGGATACGGTATTGGACTTCCAAAAGGGTCGCCATACCGAGAATTAATATCCACCGCCATTTTGAGATTGCAAGAGAAAACAGAATTGACCGAATTGAAGGAGAAGTGGTGGAAGGTGAGCTCCAATAGAATGACCGCCTTAACGTTCAACTCTGACAAAATTTTTCTCGAACTTTGTGAGAGATATCAAGAAGAGACCAACTGACAAAATATGTTTGGTAATATGATGAACATTTTGTTAGTTGATCACTATTTGATATCTTTAACTAAAAATGAGATAGATAGGCTCAACGTAGGTTGAATTCTTTTTGAGTGTAGTGCTACTTGATTGTGTTTACTTTCAATTCAAATATCTTGGTTCTTTTGAAAGATTTCAAAAAGTAATCAACTAACAAAATGTTTATTATAATGTCAAAATTATTTTGTCAGTTGACTACTTTCTGATATCACTCATAGGAATCGAGATAATCAAGCTGAAAACACGCACCGCTGCTGGCGACGCAGCAGGCGCCGCAGTCGGCGCCATTGGCGCGCCTTGACTTTACTTCCACTTTGAGCTCAATTATCTCGGCTCCCATACGATATATCCATAATTGATTAACGGATAAAATGTTGATGGCATTATAACAAACATTTGATCAGTTGACAATTTTACGACATCTCACACAGGAACCGAGATCATTCAGCTCAAAGTGCAGCCATAATATTTCAGGACAAATCTGTGGTTTGCGAACAACCGAAAAGGAAAGATCAAGACGATGGAGAATCCATCGGTGGCATTTTCATTCTTCTTGTGGTCGGATTAGTTTTGACCGCGATTTTGGTGATTTTCGAGCTTATCACCACTCGCAAACCGTCGCCAGCACAGTCACAAGTCATTCGGCATGTTAACGTTATACCCACTTTTACATTTGATTTCTTTAAATAAAACATTTTGGCCAAATTGAAATTATGCCTCTGAATCTGAGTCGCAACAGTTCAGAATTCGATATATACAGTAGCAAACGCGCCAACGACACGCCAGCCTCCACATTTTGTTTTCCAAGTATATGTCTTCCCCGTAATCAGGAATATGTGTGTGCTCTTCCCTCATACATTTCTACTCTCCAAATGTTATCAATTCCAAAAATCAATAGGTTTGGAAATGGTGTGCAAAATGTGGAGAGTGTCCAGACATAAAAATGAGAGGAATGGTACGGGGAGGATGGGACGAAAAGCAAACAAAAATCGCAATTTGCATACAAACACTCTCTCCTCTTTCCTTCTCTCTTTTGGACCGTCCCCGTCAAGCACAACAATATAATTTTAGACGACACATACCTGCGGAGAAGAAGAACAAGACTCTTTCAATATAACTGTACACTTTTTCTTTTCCCCTTCTTTTCTTTTCTTCTGCTTCTCCTTCCTCGACCGTGATTTTTCGATGGGTCTGTTGTAAGCCACGTGGCTCCTGTTTCTAGGTCATTTCTACAGTTACTAGGACCATGTATTTTAAACTAGTAAGGCAGATAGATTGTTTATTTGCTAACCCCTAAAGCTAACCCCGCTTCGAGGGGGAGGGAGAGAGACTTTGAGCTAACTTTTTCGGTTTCTGGAAGAGGTATCAAAAAGTGGCTAACTGATAAATTATTTATCACATTATCATAAACATTTTCTAAGTCGAACTAGAAAAATGTGTGAAAATTGATTATCTTCGTTTTATCAGTCAAACTTTCTCTATCCGCAATATTAGTTTTTGAGGTATAGCTGACTCAAAGGACGATATCAACACACTAATAGAATTCTTCCAGAACCGTCAACTTAAAGCTCATATCTCATTCTCTGTAAAAGATATTAACAAGTAGTTAACTGATAAAATGTTTCTTATATAAACATTACATCCGTTTACAAATTATTTATATCTCTCTCCGGAGCAGAGATAATTGAGCTCGAATTGCCCGTATACGATGAGCTTCTGCATAATAGAGCGAATACGGTATCTTCAAAGGGTACACTTCGAACTTTAAAATTGCATATCTCAAAAACCAGGGTACCTAGAAAAAATACTGTAAACCAGAAAAATGTGCAGAAATGTATTATCTTCGTTCTATGAATCAACAAATTCAAAATATCATCCTTGTGTTTCAAGATGTAAAAGTTTATAAAAGGAACCAGTTGTCTGGAAAATTAGATTTTTGAATGGCTAATATTTTCCGTGGAATCCACGAAACATATTTCCAACATTGAGTCATCCAAATTTGCTCCCAGGCATCAACTACATCCCTTCTCCCTACTATAAAGTTTCCCATGTTCGTTGATGTGGTGAGCCAGATCACTAATTACGAATATTCAGTTTTTTTGTGCTTTCAGAGAAGTAGTACCCTATACGCGACCTATAAATTTCTTGTTCAAGCTCTCGTCTTTCTCATCGTTTTCTATTTTTTAAAGTGAGTAGGAGAAAGTGCGCTCTATTGATAGTCAACTTTTTTTGAAAGATGATTAAACCGTATTTCCTCTAAAGATGCCCACACAACTTTGAGCCTATATATCTCCGTTCCTGTGAGAGATATCAAAATTTTGTCAGCTATTGAAATATTTATCATAATATCACCAATGTTTAATCAGTTGACCGACTTCTGATATCTTTCACAGGAATCGAGATAATTGAGCACAACGCTTGAAAGCACTTCCTATTTGTTTATCAATAGAGCGAATTTTCAGCGCCCTTTCTATAAAACACCCTTTTTAGGAAGAGAATCAAAACGAACAAAATCGAGCGTCGATTGCGACTTTTAGAACGCAAACACGAGTGCGAGTGAGTCATACTTGGGGCAAGAGAGTATTACCTTTCATTCATTTAATTCTCGAAATTCTGGGACCCTTGACTAGCCAGAAATAGTGAAGAAATTTAGATATTCAGACCCTGAAAATCCCGTTTTTGATCTACTTTCCTAATTTTCCAGATGGATCCTCCTAGAACCTGCCCATGCTCTGAGCAAGTTCAAAGCAATGCAAGCACTTTCTGCTGAAACTGTCGAGAAAAGTGAACTTGCGCTCTACTGATAATAAAATGTTGTCTTGGCGTTTGTTCACTTCTTGTAACTCTTTCATTTGTTTGTTCTTGTTCCTTCTCTCGGTGAGCTCTGAGCCGCCTCGTCTTGTAGCTGCTCATTATGGTATTGATGTGACGTGGCAGCAATCACTTCCCTTTTTCTCTCTCTCTCTCTCTCTCTCTCTCTCTCTTTCTCCATATGCGATAACAGCCTCCGCAGTGATGCGTGACTCACCGGAAAAGTTCCATATCTGAATGTTTGCCTCATTTGTTATTCATGACTGATCGAGGGAAGGGAAATGTGGGAAGGTATCGGGAGAACGATATGAGTAATTTGGAGAAGAGGTTTTTTGGATATTTTTTCTGCATTTTATTTTTATACCTAAAACCCTGTATTAGAAGAGCCCCTAATTTTAAACTTTAAGCCATTTTTTTCTCGATGCCTGTGATAGATTCGAAAAGGTTTTTAGCTCAATTGTCTCGATGCCTTTAAAAGCTATCAGAAAATTATAAACGAACAATTTACCAGTTGATAAAATTTTTATATCTTTTATGGGAACATAAATAATTGGGCTCAAAATACGCGCCAACATTGCGACGCGGTCGGCGCCTTTGGCTGTGCCATCAATGTACCTACACTTTGAGCTCAATGATCTTGGTTCCTATCAAAGATATAAAAAAGTTTTCAACTGACGACTTGTTTATCATAAAATCAACTGTTAGTATTTTTGCTTAGGAATCGAGATATTCGAGCTTAAACTTGTCAGCGTGGGGGCTCTTCTATTACAGGTTTTACGGTATTTTATGATTTTCTGCAGTAATTAAACTCTTTCGAAAATTTTAAATGTTTTTCAAAAAATATGCAATGATGTTAATTTTCAATCTTTCGCCCATTCTAACAGAAAATAGTTCTTCTGAATATCATTTTAAAAATAGGTCGAATTAGAAAAATCTTGAATTTATTAGTTATGGAATCGGATAAACCGAAAACCTGAAAATCCAGAAAGTTGAAAATCCGGCATTCGGAACTTCTGAAATTTGTAACTTCTAAAACTCAGAAATCCCGAGATTCTAATATTCTAAGATTCTGAAATTCGAAACGCCTGAAAAATTCGAAACTTCTGAAAATTCGAAATTTGAAACATTTGAAATTCGAAATTTCTTAAATACTGAGAATCAGATTTTCAGAACTTCTGCATTTCTGAGTTTCTGAGATCCTGAGATTCTGGGAGTTTGAGATTCTGAGATTCGTCCTTCTTTTATAATTACTAGAATTTTAAATTCTAGAACCTGGTGAAATTACTGTGGATCTGACACCCTATGAGCTTCATTGTGACTGATTGAAGTTACCCAGTAAGCTAGGTTAAAAGAAACGATTGAAAACTACATAGGACTACTGTAGATCTTTCAAGTAACCCAAAAATCCAAGCCTTGGCAAAAAGCGGCAAGCTCAAGCACACACATCAATTCCGAAACATTCTTCCAAAAGGGTCACGCTCTTGTTCCCATCGGGGGCCGCTTGAACCTTCCTCGTTCCTCTGATCTTCTACAGACAGGTCATCCCTTCTCTCATATGTACCTTTTGTTTGCTCCTTCGTTCCCTCTCTCTCTCTCTCTCTCTCTCTCTCTCTCTCTCCCTCTCTTCTCAAAACAAATACATGTCGTCCTCCTAAGGTCGTCTCACCTCCCCGAAGAGCACATACATGTTCCACCGGTGGGGCTCTGCTTTTGCCATATGGACTTAATGTTTTCCAATCAATAATCGTACAAACAACTTTTTCGATTTTTTTCTTTTCTCAGTGTTTGTTGACTCTTCCAGTGAGTCATTTTTTGGAAGAAAAAGAGAGAGGAGACGAGTTTTTTGGTATTGATAAGAAAAAATAGTCATACATTTCTCCTTACTCCTTATTGATTTGATCTAGTTCTTTCAAGTGGTTTTTTGCTTGCCTAATAGTAAGAATCTCAGAATCCTAGAATTCCATAATTTAAGGATCTCAAAACATCAAAATCCTAGATACCTAGAATTCCTGAATCCCTGAATCTCAAGAACCCAGGAATCTCAGAACCATAGAATCCTGGAATTTCGGAATCTTGGGATCTCAGAATCTCAGAAACCTAGACTCCTCTAATCCTTGTATCCTTGAATCCAAGAATCTGAGAATCTTAGAATCTCAGAATTCCAAAACTCCAGAACTTCTACTCCAGAAATGTCTTTTCCTTTTCTTCTCAAATCATTTCGATCGATTTTTCCCATTTTCTTCAATTTTTATCGACTCCTGTTATCAGCTCGTTTTATTCTATTTTTGTCTCTTTTTCTTCTTTTTTTCTGATTTTCAGTTTTTCTCAATTTTCTATAATTTTTTTCAGAGAGTCTAATATGGAAATTCGACTGAGGCACTTGGCGTTTGCCGCGATTCTTTGCACAGTTGGTAAGATTTTGGAAGAAAATTTTGAACCCAGAAAAAATACAATTTGTTATTCTTATTGTAACGAAAATTGATCAAAACCAATCTTCAAAAAAGTAAAAAGCCGGACTGATCACAAAATTCAGAGCAAATATTTAAGTTTGAATAAAAAAAACCAAACTTCAAGAAATATTTTGTTAGCGACTGTTCTTAAATCTGATAACCCGAAATTTATTCAAAAAATTGTTTTTCAGCCTACTATGCCGATGCTCAAGGTTTGAACGATCCGATCACACAATACATCGAGGGAAGACTTGGAAATCGACGAATTTTCTGGTGTCCATCTGGATACGGTAGGTGTACAATTTTTGGTTTTTTCCTCCTGATAACTCTATTTCATTAAAACGTTGAAGTTCAAACATTCAGAACGGGATTCTGGGAATTCCTCGGTTCCTCGATTTCTGGATTCTTCAATTTTTAAAATTCTAGTCTTGATCAAAATTAATATTAAAAGCGTTTTCATTGAATTTGATTATGGGAACACTTGGAATATTAGAAAATTCTGAATTCCTAAAACAGAATAATTGGAAATACCCCACAATCCCAAAAAGTTCCAATCGGCACTTCCCCCAGGAAGTGTATTTTGCAGCAGTTCCTTTTACTGCGTGCCAATTTTTAAATTTAAAAACAAAATTTTGAAAATTGACTCTGCTTAACCGTTGTTGAGTAGCTACTCATCTGGAAACCACTACGCCAAAACGCGACGCGTCCAAACTTGGTACTTTGCTAATGCAATTTTGACCTAATTTGTCTGGGTTCCTGCGAAAGATATCAATAAGTGATTAACTGACAAAATATTTCTGATATTATAATGAACATTTTGTCAATTGACCACTTTTCGGTGTCTTTCAAAGGAAATGAGATATATAACCTCCAAGTTGACGGTTTCTTTATTCGACTAAGAGGCAGAATTCTGAATTCGATGAACTAAATTATTGTTTTTTCAGGATATTTGGCATTCTGCCCACAACCAACCGATTGGGACAACTACAACTGGTGCTGTACATTCCCATATATGGGATCATGGAAACCGTCTTGCTGTCAATTTGCCATTCCAACTGGAGCAGTTGTTGCAATTATTTTGGCGGCTATCGTTCTATTGCTAGGTGAGATTTAGAGAAAAAAGTTGGAATCGAAAATTCTGGGAATTCAAATGTTCATGATCCAGGATTTCTTAGTTCCTTAGAATCCCAGATTCCTGGATTCCTGGATTCCTAGATTCTTGGATTCCTAAACTCCTGGAGTCCTGGATACTTACATTGTGGATTTCCACATTCTTGCATTCTTGGATTCCTGGATTTCTGGTTTCCTGGATTCATGGATTCATGGATTCATAGAATCTCAGATTTAGGAATTCCTAGATTCTTCGATTTTTAGGTTTTTCGATCTGTAGAATCCTAGATTTTTAGATACTTCTAGAATATCAAAATTCGAATAAAACCAAAGTTTCAAAATTTCTTAAATTCCAGTGCTCATCGCCATGTCGTGCTGGTGTTGTTGGTGTTGTCCGTTGTACAAGCAGCTGTACGATTTCGAGGATGAGTAGATCAGATATTTTCCACCCCACAGAAGCGTCTTCTGAATCCCTAAAAAACTGCCTGTTTAGCAGACTGACGGCATTTACCCCCGTTGTCTTCCTGCCATTTCTATCACTAAAATCCCCCAAAAAATCCATGATCCTCTCCCCCCATGAACACTCAACTTTCTCTAAAAAATTCTTTCTTTTTTCTGTCTTTTAGCGTAATCTTCAAAATTTAACTGTTTTCTGTTCACTAAAAATTTCTAACTGATGATTTGTCGGTGTTTCCATATTTTATTCTCTCTCTTGAATTCTCCTTCTTCTGTGATGCTTTTCTATGTTTATACAATATTCTAACTTATATATTTCAGTTCTAAATATACTTCCTCATTTAAAATCCATTCTTCTTTCTCTCTGCTCAAAACATTTTTAAATATTCTTTGAATTTTTTTTCTTAAAAAATCATTCATTGTCCGAAAAAAAAGTGTTGAATCAACAATAAAAATTATATTTCTGCACGGTCTCCCAGAGTGAAAATTTTTGGAAAAGTTCTCTCGTTGTCTGCACTCTCTCCAAAAAATATTTTTCACGTCCCTCCCTTTTCTCTTTCTTTTTGGCTAATATAAACTTATCACTAGAATCATGGAAATCACAGAAAAGAACGAATCTGAGCTATTTTTATAGAAAACAAACTATTTGCTGTGTTACTGAAGACTTCAGCTATCACATGCACAAAATTTGATAAAAATTGAAGCATTTTGAGCAAAGTTACAAAAAACCTTTGCTACAATTCCTTCGTCTTCGATTTTTGATTTAGGTCCTCATTTTCTTGAAAATTTTGAAAAAGTGTCGAAAATCTGGGGTTTTTGAGAATTTTGTACTGAAATTTGTACCCTGCATAACTCTGCGAGTATCTAACCAATCATAATGATCAATAAACCAAACGTTTTGTAATGGATTGTTCTACAATTCCTTCGTCTTCGATTTTTGATTTTCGTCTTTGTTCCGGTGTTAGGGGGTCAAACAGTATTACATTGAGCGACTTTGGACTTTGGAGGCGATTTCCAGTTGGTTAAAGGTTGTCGTTTTTGCAAAAAGGCATCAAATATCAAATTTCCTATGTTTTCTAACATGATAGTAACTTAATTTGCTCATAGAACAAGAAGAGTTGCTTAAAAACTCGGAAATTCCAAAAAAGTTTTTCAAAGCTTCATATGTTGCTTGATAGTTTGAGATAAGTGTTGAAACTTCTTACAGACAATCTCGAATATGATTTCTATCACCCATAACATTTTTTTTCTAAAAATATCCATCTTTGAACGTTTTTGAAACGTTCTTAGCTGTTCATCCAGTTTTCCAATTAAATCTGTGAAAAATTGCACTGAGATAAAATAGAGTGAGAGATGAAGAGATGCAGAGACATTTTTTCTCTATTGTCTATTCAAAATAATCGCGCGGGTGAAAGAGTAAAAATGTCTGCGTCTCTACAGCGCCTCTACAGATTTGGAGACTCTCTACACGTTTTTTTACTCGTTCACCCGCGCGATTATTTTGAATAGACAATAGTTTTCTAATCAAAAATTTTCACGCTGGGAGACCGTGTTTCTGTATTGTATTTCCATTTCTATAAGAATCTACATAGTTTTCTACACATTTTTATGCAATAAAATAGAGTAAAAAATTTTGTCGGAATTAACGAATTCTAGAGAGAAAAAATCGGACATTTCTCGGATTTCGCAAAATTTTCAGCCCTTTTTAGGCAGCTGTTTTTGAAGACTCTTATTCGATTTTTCCTGTTTCTTAGTCTGAAGTTTAACCGGGTGGCGTTCTTGACGGAATATTACTGTAGAAAACCTTGTAACAAAAAACTGTTCTAATCTCCATTTTGGCGTGATTGTGTTTGCAAAAAACAAAAGAAAATTAGTCTTCTACAGTAATCTATGGTAATCTTACGGCAAGAACACCATCCCTGTCAATTTTCGAAAACAAAAACAGGAAAAATCGAAAAAGAATCTTTGAAAATAGCTGAAAAACCTAAAAAGGTCTAAAACTTTGCACCGTTGGAGTTGCCACGTTGATACCAGTTGGTGAGCTACGGTGATGCAAGACCGTGGCATATATGAACTCGGTAGGATAGCCACATGCTGTGTGAACACTGACTACTATACACCGTCACGTCAAAATACATTCTCTTGTCTCTGTTCAAACTTCTTTTAAAACTTTTTCAAGTTTTCGTGAAGCTTTAGACATTCTCCCTGCAAAAACGCAGATTGACGACTCTAACCAATCATTCTAATGGATATAGAACTATGTTAAATCTCCCCAGGGAACTTCAAACTCTGAAGTCCAGAGTGCTTTTCCAGTTTCCTGCAAGAAGCGTGTGCTAAAAGTACTCTGCTCTCTACAACAAATCTAGTTGACATCCGGACAGCCAGACACAAAGCATAAAAATATATTATAATTCAGATCCTCTCTCTTTTCCTTCTTCTTGTTCTTTTTTGTTAAAACAGATATTTTAAATGACGCGACTTTTTTTTCTCGGTTACCATGGAGATGACGTCAGTTTAGTTCAAAAAGAGAGACACATTTTGTGCTCTTATGAATGTCTTTTCGACCTATTAGGCTCGTTTCGAATTGACCAATTATATGTGATGTGCACTTTTGATTTGACTTGACATTTTGAGAGAAAACAAAATCACATGTTTTTCTTTTCAAAACCAAATAAGAGCTAATCGTTTTTAAATTCAGAAGATATCAAAAAATTCTGTTAGGTTCCATTACGAAAACTACCGTACCCTGAAAATAATTTTTATTAACCGGATTTTTTCTCGTTTTTTACGGCCTTTCAACCAAAACGACAGGGAAAATAAAAAAAATTATAACGAAAAAATGCCCGAAAACGGACAAAAATCGAGAAAAAATTCGCAAAAATTCATATTTTTAGTTTACGGTACTTTTCGTTATGGGACCTTTTAACATATTTTCGCAGTTTTTTCTTCAAAAAACTCAAAAAAAAACACCTATTTTCCTTTCTCTATTTCTCTCGTCCCTCGCGCTCCTATTCAAAACATAGTGGACGGCGGAACCCGGGAAACGTCGGCTGCTTCAAAACAAGGGGGTATTTAATCGCCCGCGATTTCCTTTAAAGTCTGGACGGTCCGAGTCACGGGAGTCTTCCAAGTGTGTGTGTGTGTGTGTTTTCTGGAATTTTGGTTCCAACCCTCAAATTGGGCCCCGTGACATATTTGACCGGTTCCTTTTTGAAAAAAAAATATATATATATAAACTTGAACCTAAAATAGAGGGAAAGAAAAACCCTAGAAAAGGAACCTTTGCTAGGGCATAAAAGTTTTGCGAAAAAAAGTCTAAAAATCAATAATGGGCCATCTAACACCTATTACATCGAAAAACAAACCGAAAGTTGTTTTCCAACTCTCTTCGTCTCAAAACAATTTCTTCACCAGCTACTTACACTGCCACTTCAAATTACTTGGGTGGAAGTGGAAATAGAGGTGAAGAGCATTGGAGACACGTGGCGAAGAATATATTAGTTTGGAATAAGGGAGCCGAAGGAATATGTATATTAGAAGTAGACGACGGCGAAGGTTGAAGGAGCGAAGAAAATTGAGAAGACGAAGGAATACGAGAATGGGCGCTCGCCTTCTCTTCCTCTGTTTCTCTGTGTCAGAGAGGAAAAAGTCGAAAAAAAGGAGTGAAAATGAATGGAAAGCAAAGGAGAAAAATAGGAATAAATGTGCGAGATGGCGAGAGCGAGCGAGGCGCAGACATCGAACGCCTCCACTCCACCTTATCAAAAGTGGGCGGGGCTTGCTGAGGCACGCCCCTTCCTTGTTTTGATATGGCTGAATACGAAGTGAAAAGGTTTGTAACTGAGACACTCATATTCTTCAGAAAACGCAAAAATCAGAATTTGGGAAAAATATTAGGAATATACCGTAAACACACTGTAGGAAACTTTGAGCCAATATATCTCGTTTCTGGTAAAAGATGCCAAAAAGCGGTCAGATGATAAAATGTTTATCATGATTAAAAAAAATATTTCACCAGTTAATCATTTTCTTATATCTTTCTCAGAAACCAAGATAATTTGTCTCAAAGTTGAAAGTTTGATGCTGGAATGATGGAATGTAGAAATTCTAAAATTCTGAAATTCTGAAATTCTGGAATTGTAATATTTTGAGGTTCTATGCTTGCTTTTTTCTCTCGAAATTTCGAAATTCTGTTTATGACTAATCAGTTTCAGAAAAAATGTGACGATATGTTGTTTTTTTCTCTTTTCAAAAGAGATTCGTTTCAAAAAAAGTGGTCTTGTTTTCAAATTCAAATCGTGAGATTTCTATGACAATACCTATCGGTGCATAGGGGAAAAATATATAGATGACGTGAAATAAAGAAAATTGGAAACCGAGAAGGAAATGAAAAGAGAGAAATGGGGTTATTCATAAAGATGGAGGGACTGGAATCTGAATTTTCAGATTTCAGAGGATTTTAAAACATTTTTGGAATCACAGAATTCAGTGAAATAATTATAGATTCTTCCCAAGAATTACGGCTCACAGATTTGAATTCAAAGCTCTCTCCAAATTTCCATTGATTTCAGACAGACAAGATTTCCGGTTACACATTCTAGATTTTTGGAAATGGCGTTTCATTGCAAAAGTATAAAATGAACCAATCTACCGAACAATCCCATTATTTAGTCTCTTTGAGATTCAAGCACTCTTTTTGCAGAAAGTATCTTAGCTTATCGTTATGCTCCGCTGAGCAGTACCTGCTCATTTATCATCAAAATCTATGTAATCCTTTCGTACGACTCGGTCATTAAAATTTTTTCTGCGTGAATTGAAGTTTAAAAGTTTATGTGCAACTATAACGAGCAGGTGATTATGTAAAAACTTTATCAAGGAAGTTTACTGCAACAAATATCAAGGAACTATTATTTCAAAGTTTCAGAAAGTTTATGAAAAATAGGGAAAGTACTCAAAACTAAGAAATTTCAAAGGATAACTTCAACAATTCAGCAATATCCCGAGAGTAAATTTTAGTTTTTTTTCTGTGATTTTTTTGCTAAATTTTAGACATTTTCAGGGGTTTCAGCTACTTTTGAAGGATCTTTTCCGAATTTTTTGTTCGAAAACAGTAGTGAATCCAGAGCTTAAGACCTAATTTTCTCCGCGTTGTCTAACACACAGCCAATTTTGACTAGAAGATGTAGAAAAATTATCAATAACCAAATGAGAAAGGCATTTACATTTACAAATCAGACAAGTTTTCTTTTCTAGTTGAAGACATTTTCCAAGAGTGTCGCAGTGACTGTTAAAACTGTAATGGAAAATTTATCGTCAACTTTGACCGTTTTTATCTCATTTACTGTAAAAGATATCAAAAAGAAGTTAGCTAACAAAATTGTTTTTATAATATTACTTGTTTCAATTCGACTGTCAAATTCAATTTCTCCAATTATGAGCTACATGTGGCGGTCCTTATATTGGTACATTCATCTAAAAGTTCCCAGTGTTCATTCCTTTTACAGACCATTAAACACTTAGCATACTCATTTTCACCGGAAATTTAGGTTCCGGGACGTCCAGAGCTAGCTGTTCTTTGGCAATCAACTGACTCTTCCGCATATTGTTAGAGTAACTTATCTACTTCTCATCTACAGTAATCAGACCATTCACCCAACTGAACGTGTCAAGAAATGATGTAAGAAACATCCCCATGTCTACTCGGCGATCTAGATTTTGGTCCTTCAAATCACAAAGGTTTACTTCCAGCACGACAGTGCGACATCGCCTGTCACCAGAGGCATCAGCCAAAAACTCATGTTGTTTGGCTGGACCATTCTTTTGCACCCATCGTATTTTCTGGACCTTACCCTTTCGGATGAAGGTCGTTCGAGGCTCTCAAGCATCATTTTGATAAAAAATACTTCCATTGAAAAGATGATATCAAAAAGGAGTTCACCTCCTTTTCTAATCGCAGTTCTTGTCGTTCTGGGCCGATGGATCCAAGAAAACACCGGAGCGTTGTCAGACAACTATTGATGCTCATAGACCTTACTCTGGCAACGCTCCGGTAATTTCTTGATTCCATCAGCACAGAACGACGAGAGCTGGGTCAACTCTTTTTTTTGTGTCATCTTTTCAATTGAAGTATTTTCTATCAAGATGACGAGTAAGAGCCCCAAGCGACCATTTATCCGAAAGGACAGGGTCCGAAAAATACAAAGGGTGCAAAAGAATAGTTCAGCCAAACGACATGAATTTTTGGCTGATAACTCTAATCCCGGGTGGTCTCGCATTGTCACGCTGGAAGAGCCCTTGGCGTTTTCTCCATGTTTCGATTCGACTGCCAGATTCAATTTCTTTGATTATGAACTATGTATTGTGGCAATTATATTGGTGCAATCATCTAAAAGTTCCCAGTCTCCACTTCTTTGACAGACGACCAAAGACATAGCACTCCCATTTTTAGACTGAAATTAGGTTCCAGGACGTCCAGAGCTAGCTCTCCTTTGTCAATCAACTCACCCTCCCGTACGTTGATAGAGTAACTTGCCCACTTCTCGTATACGGTAATTAGATCACCCACCCAATTGAACGAGCGAAGAAATGGTAGAGAAACATGCACATGTCTACACGGCGATCCATACCATATTTTTTCAAAACATTGGGTACGACTCGACCCAGTTCTTGAAGTTGCCAAGAGACTTCGATCCGGTACAATACTTGGTTGACTAACGGACAATGCCTTTGACATTTTACGGGTGGTTTGAAACAGACCGGCTTCAACAGTAGTCTTTAATAGGTCCAAGTCCAACTTCGGGACCGAGTTTCGTTTTTGACTTCAAAATGTTTGGCTTCAAACTGATCGGTCTAGTGTTTGATGGTAGGAACAACAGGAGATATTCCTTCAACTATTTCTTTTGTTTTCTGATGGACATCAGATTTTATCAAACCAGGAAGGAATAAAAATAAAATGACGTTTCGAAAGTGCAGACGGCGTAGGTCGAAAGAAAGCGGCATGCTCGCGAACGACAAGAAGTAGGAGAAAGGAAAATCTATATAACAAGTCCATGAGATACTCTATCCAGCAAAAAAACATCCTCCAAGAAAAACCGTCCCACTGACAAAATATGAATTCCCTACTCATATTTATGACGAAAATCCGCTTTCCAAGAAGTTCCTAAAACGCCTTTTCCAAAGGCTTTCTCACTCAAAAATCCAAAAAGTATTGTCTCAATCTCCCTTATCTACCGCTGCCTGTCTTGCCACATCCTTTACTACTGGAATTAGGTGTGCGCAAGGAAGGAAGCGGTGACAAAGAGAGGGACTTGTGCCTGCAGAGAGAGGCGCGCAGCGAATACAGTGGCAATGAGACGACAGGTGTTCTTTATGTGTATTTCTTGCTGCCGACATCTCACGACTTTCGCCTTTCACTATACTTTACACAGGGGGCGGGGCTTAGGCTTTTTCTGTGAAAGGTGTGAGGAAAGGAGTGTTTTTGAGCGGATAAAGCGATAGGAATTTGATGAAAATAGTTTTTTTGAATGAATTCATATTTCAAGAACAAAAAGAAAAAAGTTTCATTTGGTTTTCACTTCTTTCTTATCCTTCTCATCCATTATCTCTCCAATCACTTCCTCCATATAATCCTCCATGGTGATGATTCCAATCACTTGATAGCTCTCTCTTCTCAACGCCTTTGCCATTTTCTCCTTTTCTCTTTCCGACTCATCCTCTTCCACTTCCACGTATGTTTCTTCTTTTGCTTTCAACTTTTCCAACTCCTTCTTTTCCAGTTCTTCAAGTCTTTCTTCCGCATCTACGTCAGATTTATCTCCAAGGTACTGTACCACAATCGCCATGGTACATCCTCTTTGCAACTCAACCATGAACTGCTGAACGGGAAGAGAGTTGAGGACAAAGCAGTGCTGGTAAACTAGGTCATTGGGGTTAAAGTTAGGCTACTGAATACCTTTCTTCGTTTCTCAAGGACGCTTAGAAGGGTTCCTGCGGTTAGATCTGTGGTCAGACCTCGACCCTGGTCATCCATTAGGAGCATTGCATCGAAGAGATTCAAAACTCCACAGATCTGAAAATGCACGGATTTCGAGAAAAACATCATCAGGACATCCAAGACTAACTTTATTCTCATTATCCTTATCGTGCACTGGTAATCTGGAGAATCCCCGATCAAACGAGTCTGTCAAGAATTCCTTGGTTATCACCATATCCTCACTTATCACTTCCACTTCTGTTATCGGAGTCATCACGTCTTCAGCTCGTTTTTTGCGCAGATCCAGTGCCCTTTGAACAACATTCATCATCTGGAAATTTAAATTCGGTCTATCGAGAAATAGCCATAGAGCATACTTACACCAACTTCTCCATCGTCCAGCTTCTCATCGATCATCGCCACCAACTGAACCGAATCAACTTCCATTGGTGCTGCTTCGTCGGCATTTTCTTTGCCCAGAATTCGGTCTAAAAGCTTCGAAAGCGGATAGCTGATCGGCATGGTAACGATCATTGCGAAAATCACAAAATATTGCATTCCACTGGCAATTGGCAGGGCGTTTCTGGAAAAAAAGTTGTCTGGAATTCGGAAGGCTACAATTCACTTCGTAAAAATCAAAGACGGCAGAATCTCCGTGAAAATGAGCAAAAGTATTGTAGCCGTCAATTCGACGTATCCAAACTCTCCGAATCCATAAACGTCACCAAAATAATTGAGCAACAGTGTGATGGAAGTATTACAAAAGCAATTTCCAAATATGATTGTCACCAGAACATAATTGCTGTGTCTTCGAAGACGTAAAACATCTCCCGCGCGTTGTCGATTTCTGAGATTACTGTCACTTCCTTGGATGAGCTGGAAATTTCTTTGTTATTTGAAAAAAAAAAGTCAAGTTTTAGCTCGAATACCTCATTTCCTATATAGAATATAAAAAATTTGTCAACAAATAAAATGTTTCTGATATTATGATGAAAACTTTTTCAGTTGACATCTTTTTGATACCTTTCGTAGGAATCGAGAAAAATTGACTGAAAGTTATAAGATACTCACCTTCAAGTCGTTAATGCTAAACGACATAATTGCCAAATTGAGTCCTGAGAATGTGGCAGACATGATGAGGCACAAAGCCAAGAGAGGCATCATTAAGTAAACCATTTGGAAGTCTGGAATTAAAAATAAAACGAGATTTAGAGAAGCTAGAATGTCAAACGGCTTATCTCTTGAGATTGCAATTTGGTTAAAAAAGTGTTAATTACAAAAATGAATCTCTAGTTTTGTTTAGTATACTCTGAAATTTTCAGACAAATCGAAAAATTCTGGCACATATATCTCAGTTTTTGTAAAATATATCTGAAAGTAGTCAACATACATAGTTTTCACCATAATATCACCAATATTTTATTAGTTGACTACTTTTTGATATCTCTTATAGGAGCCGAGATATATGGTCTCAAAGTTTGTGGAGTCATAGAAAAGTTGAGAAGTCATAGAAAATTCTTAACATGGTATTTTTTTGGGATGCTCTATTTGCACTAGAAAATTTTCAAGCAATTTTTTTCAGTCATCACCTTGACCCTCGGTAATCGTGACCATCTGACTGAACTCCGTTGCTCTGGGCTCTGTACAAAAGAAGAAATTGATTCGTTCATCTTGTGATCTCATTTCTTGATCCATTCGGAATTCTCTGATATGATTCCAATCATATCTTTTTTCAGCTCTATTCACGGACACCATTTTTAGGGGGTATGCTTCAACATGACATACAGCATCAAAGGAGAGAAAAGCTCGTTTCACAAGTGTCACTTCTTCTCCGAACAGTTGAAAGTGTTGCGTTTCGTTGAGCTCTATGGAGTCTCTGGAAAAAATAATGAGCAGTACTAAAGTTCCAGTAATCCTTCTAGAAACTCACTTACTGAAACCATCCAACGAGTACATTTCAATCGTCCCATTTCTACAGGAGGATTTTGCGTTTATTTGGGAATAGGGAACAACGATGAATATGAGAATCTGAATTATGTTTTCAAATTCGCTCTATTGCTAATCCACTCACTATAACTGATAGCTTGAATTTCATCTTATCCTTAAGTCAAGGTCCTGGACTATATGAAAACTAAACTCTTCATCAGCTGACATGCATGCCAACGTTTGCTAGCTGGTGTAGAAAAATATTTAGGTTGATTAACGATTATTTATTTAGGTTGATTCACGATTAAAGTTCACGATTATTTATTTATTTTTTTAGAAAAATAAGTTTTAAAAATATGAAATTCAAAAAAATTAGGGATCCTAGAATCTTCAGTGTTCCTGTCTACTCGCCTTTCATCGCCTTCTTTTTTCTCAGGGCTCCATCGGAATCCAAAATTTGTCGAACCTCCTCGTTGGATATCCTCATGCCATCAAGATGATCCTCTGAAAAAAGAAATAGTTCAGATGGAAGAGTGTTTTGATGACCTAGAATCCCAAATGTGATTGTCAACTTTGACCGTATTTATCTGCGCTCCTGTAAGAGATATCAAAACATAATCAACTGAAAAAAAGATAAACGTTTTGTCAGTTAACCACTTCTTGATAGCTCACATAAAATGAAATGAGATATATGACCTCAAAGTTGACAGTCAAGCGTCAACGCCCGTCTATCGCAGGTTTTCGTCAAGAAACGCAACGCATGGAGTTACATAGCCTAGTTTTTTTAACCGGTTAATGTCAAGTTTCTAAGATTTGGTTTCCTAGGCCACCATGGCTAGGCCACCATAATCTAGAAAACCAAAACTATTTTATACGAGGTCATATGATTCCTGGACTGTTTTTTCTTGTTGGTTTTTTCTTTCAAAATGAAATCATGGTTTCTTTCTTTGGTTATTTATCTAGATGATCAATCTTTGAGAATTCAAAATGCGAAACCTTAAAAATTTGTAAACAAAAACAATGGCCTAGAAGAAAATTGCATTAGGATTTCTAGGCCATGCTGAAATTTGATTTCTAGGGGTTTTTGCAGGAGTTAGAAGCCTAGTTTTGTGAGAGTACTCCAAAACTTCAAGATGCTTTTCTTTAAAGTTAGATAAGCATTACGGCCGAGGAAACTCTTCGGCCATCACACAGCCAAAAGCTTTTTCAAAAAGCCATGCACGTACCAGTGACCTCTTCAATTGTGGGACCATTTCCGCCACGAAGTGCTGTTAACCATCTTCGTTGGAATGGTCGAATTAAAAGTGGAAGAAGAAGGACGATGGCTCCCCAAAGACCATTGAATAGAAGACGTCCGAAAGCGTCACCGGTGTATTTGCTGATTGTGTCGGTCCACGTTCTGGGTTGATCGAATTTGCGGAGGTAGTCTTCGTGCTTTTCTCTGAAAAATTAAATGAGAAGAAATGGAAGTGAATCAAACCCTTGGATCTTTAAAATCGCAAAGTTTTGAAATCCATAAATTTTTAAAATTTCAGAACTCTGGTACCCTGGAATAGCGAATTTTCAGAATCTCAGAAACTACAACATCCAAAAAATAAAAAAATCATGTTCGCTTTTTTTGTAAATTTGGATTTCCAGCACTTTTCAATCTGTGGAAGGTCCCACAACGAAAACTACCGTAACCTAAAAAAGTTTCATTGTCCGAATTTTTTTCCCGATTCTCACTGATTTTCGTCGATTTTTCAGTTATTTTTCTCCAAAAAATTAGGAAAATTGAAGACGGAAACTGCATGAAAATCGGGGAAAAAATTGATTTTTTCTTCGATTTTTTGCAAAATTTTTAGACCTTCTTAGGTCTAAAAATTTCGGGTTTTCCGATATTTTAGTCTGAAATTCGACGGGATGGTGTTTTGATTACTGTAGATTACCGTAGAAAGTCTTGTATTTTTTAAAGGTTTCTTTTGCAAACGTTTTCATCTGCATTTTGACGTGTTTGTGTGTGCCAGAAAAATACAAAAGGAAATTGGTTTTCTACAGTAATCTACAGTAATATACAGTAATCAAAACACCATTCCATCAAATTTCAGAAAAACTGAAAAAATCGATAAATAATCTTCGAAAATAACTGAAAAACCTGAAAAGGTCTAAAAATTTTGTAAAAAAAACGAAGAAAATTAGTTTTTCTCTTGAAAAAAATGCTAGAAAATCGCTAATTTTTCAGGTTACTGTAGTTGTCGCTGTGGGGCCTTCCAATTTTTTGTACCACATTAATATAATGCATGCTTTTTCGGATATCTGGACTTAGATTTTGAACTAAAAATTCAGAATTTTTTGAAAAAAAACTCACAATAGTCTTGAATGATCACTTTTCGTCTGTAATAATTCTTTCTCGATTTCCGCAATTCTCTTTTTATAATCAATTTCATCCTCATCTTTTTCCTTCTTCTCGTTTGCTATCTTCATCATTTCCACGGCTTTCAGAAGAACGTCTTCATGATTTTTCAGATCCGCCAAGTTGCTTATAAACTTCTCTTCTAGCTCTTTTCTGGAATTTCTTTTCGGAATTTCTTCTAAAACTCAGAACCCAAACAATAATACCTCCGATGATGATCCTTCTCAAATTTGACATCTGGTGAGCAGCCATTTGAGCCCGATACCAGGAAAATTCTGAATTCTCAAAGTTAGCTAAAATCCTATCTGTTAATTTTACCCCAAAAAAATCAATAAATCCAGAGGCTTCATCTGGAAGAATAGACGCAGAGAAAAAGAACCACACTATGAAACGTCTTCTCTTCTGTTGATCTTCGGCAGACGTTGAGATAGGGCGAGAGAGAGTGAGAGACGTAGAGAAGTAGAGAATCCAGTTCCGATTAGCGATCTCGAGAAAATGATAGGATAGAAAGAGAAAGATGGGGAGGAAGAAAACAAAGTGTGATTTGGTTTTGTTGTGTAGAAAAACTTTTGAATTAAAATTTAATTTTTTCAGTTGATGAACAATATTTCAGATTTCAAAAATGTCCAAAAAAAAGTTGGGATGATAAATAAATAGAAGGATGAAAAGTCAATTAAAATTGTATGAAAATGTAAAGCAAGAGACCGAATTTCGGGACGAGACGAGAGAGAACCATAGTTTATGTTACAGAATATGAGTCAATAGGGTACTGGGGGAATAAATAAAGGTTAGGGTTGATAAATTAATTATGCAATCTGATTAACAAGGTGATTATTGTGTAACGAAGAATTCGCTGAAGAGATCATCGCCGTCGTCCATGTTGACTCCGATAGCATCGTGAATCACGGCATCGTTGACGAACGCTTCTGGAGCGGTGTGAGTTTCCATCTGGTGAGCCAAGTGCTGTTGAACGCTCTCTGCCAGTTTCTGCTCGATTGGTCCTGGTTCTTGGACGTTGACAAGCATCTGAGGTGGTGGTTGACAGAGACGACCCTCTTGGAGATGGACAAGATCCTTGATCTCTTGACCAATGTGGTTGAGTTGTTGTTGAACGTTCATGTGGTTCATTTGTTGCATGTATTCTGGGATTACAGGGGTCTCGGAGGCTGCAGACGGCTCAGGTTCCTGGAAGAAATGGTTCCATTTGTGACAATTAAAATTCCTAGACGACGGAATTTTCACGAGATTTTGGATTTCGACTCTCAGATGATGGCAACTTGAACTGTTACGATTCTTACTATTAGCTTCTTAGATTGCTTTCTTTTCAAGTTCTTCAATTCAAAGGATAAAAACTGAGGCTTCTATTTTGATCGGTCGAGCTTCCATTCGGTCAGACCGAGCCGGCCAACCGCCGATTTTCGACCGACCGAAATCAAAGCTTCACTTTCGAGCTTTTTGGAATTTAAAAGAATTTAAGATAAATTTTTTTGTAAAACGTACCGGAGGCGGAAGCAACACTCTGCGTCTGATATCACTCAAGAATCCAGTGTCGATTCCGAAATTGGAGATGCTGGAAACGTCGTCAAGCAAGTCGAGAACCGATTTGTCTTGAGATCCGCGTTCATCATCATTTCCTCCTCCTCCTTGATGCCTTCGATAGCTTTCATGGTCTTAGAGTGTTCACCATCAGTGGCCATGTTCAGTTTCTTTTCGACAGCCTGGAAGTAGGACTGGTATTTGACATTACGAAATTTTGGAATCTTACCTGCGCAAAATCCGGACAGTTCTCAACAAAATTTCTCATTGAAATCGCTCCAACCGCGTTTGCCTTATCTCCATACGTCCTCAGGAACAAATCAGTATCATCTTTGGTCATTGTGGACCACGTGGTATCATACATTGGAGCAAACGACGAGAACGGTCCATAGTTGAGATAATTGATAGGCGTTTGCGAGTACAAACGGTGCTCAGTCATCTGAATCATTCCAGTTGTTCCTTCTTCCAGCGGTCCAACAATATCTCCGATTGTGACTCTTCGAGCTGGTGCCGAGTTCTCTTGCTTCTCCTCGGGATCTTGATCTCCCGCGAGAACGTTGAGCACTACCGTTCCATTCTTCTCGGACAAGAATCCCATTTTAGCCATCTTCTTAGGTGGAATATTCGCGGATAGCCTGTCTCGAACCTTGACGTCGGCGCTTTTCAGACAATCATCTGTTGTCATGGCGTCCTGAACAACAGCTCTTCTTCGGTTGACTGGCCGCTCCATAGCAACTGGAGCTAGTGGGCGGATACCGGCAAGTTCGAATGGAACCTGATTGGCAGATGGGAGCGAATGGAATAGGAAACGGAGATACGGTTCTCCAAAATAGTAGTTGATGAGATTGGCCAGTCGTTTGGCGGCTAGATAGAATACAGTGGTTGGCTGATTGTATTGAAGAGCGTTCGAAACTATTAGATCGCAGTCTCCTTTCATTGCAGGAAGTGATGGGTAGAGACCATCTTCGATTTTTTCTCTGAAATTTGGAAATTTTCGAGGTGCGTTGGGGTCTCAATGGAAAAAAAACATCTCGAACAAACAGAAAAAAATCTGCAGCGAACGTTTTTGTAACAAAAGAACCGGTTTTCCGCTTTCGTTTTTCAGTTATTTTGTTTTTTCAAGAAATCGATATTTAGTTCACTGACCGATTACGTTTCATGTTCTTATCTTTAATTATTTTTATTTTAGTTCTAACCGTATAGTCTGCAAATCCATGGGTGTCTGAATAATTTCCCTGTAATCCGGCGCCATTTCCTCGGTCACTGGATACGAGAAATAGTCCTCTGGATCCTTCTCAACTAATTTCCGTATAATATGATCTTGCATTAATTGAATCGGTTCGTATGCTGAGAACGATGGTGGTTGCCTTGGTGGTGGAGGTGTTGGCTCTTTCTCAGGTTCTTCTTCTGGCTCCTCCGCCACTTCTCGCTCCTTTTCAGCCTCTCTAGCCGCTTTTCTCGCCAGTATTTTCTTCTTTTTCAAATGATAATCTGTCAGCGGAACTCTCTTTTTCTTGCTCTTCCCAGCTGGAGTCTTTTTGGTTGGAGCGGCCACCTCGTCTTCTGAATTTTCTGACTCCTCTTCTTCGCTCTTTTCTTGATCAGAATTCTTGTATTCATCTTCTTCTGGCTCCTCTTTTTTCACCCGTTTTGATGCGCGGGCGGATGATCGAGAAGGTGTGGCTGCTGCTTGAGCTGGCGTGTTACCACCACCTGAAAAATTCAATTCGTTAAGTTTTGAAAATTAATCATTTTTATAGCCTAACACCTCTTCAACTATCACAAAAAACCGAAAAACTTACGAGCTCTTCTCGCCGACGGTGGCGCTCCAACCATCGATCTTCTTGGTGGATCATCCGACATTTTCGAATAACTGGAATATATTCTTCGAATTTATAGAAACAAAATGTACTTCGAATGATGAGAAACCGTTCAACTCGTGTGAAATCAATAGCGAATTCGGCCAGCTGAGGGCTGACCGCGTTCAAATTTTCGGCGTCGCACTGGAGCGCACTTGCATTTTATGTCCCCTTTTCGAGTTCGAGAAGTATTCAGAAGATGTCAGAGCAATCTAAACAAAACGATTCAGAAACAGAAAATTCAAATAAAACTCTTTATTACTGAGTCTGGGAGGCAGAAAAAAGAGATTATATGTAACAGAGACGAAAGAGAAGTGGGTGCCGAAAAGCAAAAACCGAGGGGAATGTAATAAATTAAAGAGGAAAGAGAAAAGCCAAAAAAGAAAAAAAATCGTGTCAGGCACTAAAAACGAAGCAATGCAACGAAACGAATAGGGGTAAAAAGTGTTTAAAGCACAGACACTGGAAATTCAGGGGGAGAGCAGAGCGAGTTGTATGGAATAATTAATAAATTAATAATTTTTTAGTTTTTCCATAAATTAATCAGCGCCTATAACAAACAGTTAATGAGAGATGATGACCCGTTTTTGGTGGTTTGATCACAAGAATTGGGAAAAGGAGGGTATGAAATGAAGAAAAACCTGGGATGATGATGATGGGACAATACAGATGGGATGGTGGATTTTTAAAGTAATTTAGTGAAAAAAGAAATATCAAACTCGTCTTTTTATTACATTTCCATCATTTATAACGAGTATTGTAGCTTCTTCTTTTCACTACATTATAAAAAAATACCACGCACCGTATAATTGCACAGCACTTTGGTGCATGATACATGGGAAAGGCACAGGGGTAAAAAATAAAAAAGAGGATATATCCGGATAGCGAGAAAGTCTCACTGCAATTTTTACTGGTTAAAACTTCAAGGGTCTGGCTGGCAGGCAGGTGGGATGGTTGGAGGGAAAATCACAGAAAAGAGAGAAAATTGCGGCGGGACGGCATGCTTTGGTATCTACTCTTATTATACAAATAACCGGAAGAATCGAGATGCTTGAGGAATGGGAAGAAGGAGAAGGAAATTTGGTTAAAACTATTTTTGGGGACGATTATATCGTTGGTGAAAGTCGATCCGCTGTGAATAGCTCTTTGTACAGGTCCGGAAGTTTCTCCGATGCTCGTGGATCCGACAGGCGGAACTTGGTCAGAGCCTGAAAAATGGAAATGATGAATTTAGCAATACTTCTCAGAATTTGAAGAAAAATACCTACCTCCTGATGCAAACGAGCCGTCTGCCTAATCTTCTGCTCAACGTCTTGAATCCGAGTGATCGTCGTATCCATGCATCCGGTTCTCGCAACCATACTCTGATGCAGTGCAGTTTTCAACAATTCAGCTGTCGCCAAAGTCGATGGATCTCCTTGTCCGTTGGAAGAAGAAGAAGACGTTGTTGCTTGCTCGAGAAGAAGACCAGCCGCCATGAGAGCCAACTCCGATGTGTTTGGTTGGAGAGCAACGATGTCGTGAAGAGTTCCATGGATCTCGTTGATCAGGTTCATCTGAAAAGGGGAGAGTTTGCCACGTGCTTCAAAGATGTCTATTACTCACCTCATCAACGTCTTCAGTGACAACGCAAGCGAATGGAATCGTTCCTCTCTCTCCACAAACTGCATGTGTGTCCATATTGTAGTACATGGCAGCGAAGATAAGACACAATTCGAAGACGCTTCCTTTGAGCAACTGAATTTGTGTCTCTTGTGGGAGATTCATGAATCCATCGACACACTTCGCGAACTCAATGATCGTCTTGACAAGCGGATCCAACTGAAGCGAGAACAACTCCCAACCATCAGCCCTGTCCAAACGGCTGAACGTCTCCGGGTCAACTTCGCACACGGCGTTGTTGGTTCGATAGTCGAGATGTTGTTGATCAAACGAGGAGATCACTCGAGACACGACGTCTTCTTCAGGAACTTGTGGAGATGGGAACGATCCTCCTGTGGCTTGATGAGCAACGTAGTGAGAACCGGTGGCAACTGATGGATTTGCTCCGTACATGTTTTGAGGCATTGGGGTGACCGGGGTGGCAGGCATGGCGATTGGGTAGCCGTTGACCGGGGTCGACGTGCCCGATGGATAGTGACCGTACATGCTTTGATCAAAGCTGGAAAATCGGATATTGTAGATAATTGCCTTTTCGAAGATTTTCAAAGATTCTTCAAAATAGCTCAAAACTCACATGTAGTTATGGGATGGTGGCGGCGAGTAGTCACCGTAAATGTGATATCCAAGACCACTGGCTTCCGCGAGCTGCTTGTGCATCCGAACCTGAAAAACTCAGAAATCCTGCTAATGAAACCTTGTTTATTTATCTAGTGATTGTATTCCTGTTCCTAATTAATCATATTCCCATCACCAAAAAAGGCAAAAACTTATTAAACCAAAGCGAACCTTTTCACCTGTATTTTTCCGTCTGCTGGATTTTCTCATTGGCACCGTGAGAGCATTCGGCTAAAAATGTGCGATAGTTAGGCTATGTTACAAGACACACAGACAGACAGATATCCCAGTTAGTGCGGTAGACAGGTGGTTAGTAAGTAATCAGAAGCGCAGTGAAACATAAGGCTTCCATTCTACCGGGAAATTTAGTTTTTAAAAAAATTCTTTCGGTCGGCGGTCGGCGAATTTAGACCGACCGAAATGGAAGCCTTTGTTTAAAAAAAGACAAAAAAATGCATGCAACAGAGACCTACCTCATCTTCGACTTTTTCTCGCTGCTTTTTCGACATTCTGCCGAATTTCACCGCGTCGCGAGACATTCCCAACTCGATGCACTTCTTCAGACGACAATATTGACAACGATTGCGGTTGACTCTGAAAAAACTTGAAGGATTAAGAATCGAATTGTTGTTTTTTTTTCTATGAATTTTACCCACCTGTCGACAATGCAATTCTTCTGACGAGGACACTGGTAGTTGACGATTGACGATTGACTACGCCGGAAGAATCCTTTACACCCTTCACACGTGATGACTCCATAGTGCACTCCGGACGACTTGTCACCACACACTTTGCACGGTATCACTTCTATTTGTGCTGAAACTGAAAAAAAGACATATTATGGGGTTCTAGAAGGTCCCGGTGCTGAAAGCGCAGTAGTTTTTTTACCAATTTTTTATTTTTTGTTTTCCATTAAAAAAAATAAAATTTTGAAGATGCCAGAGTTTGAGTTAGTTAACAATTAGACACATAGAAACACAAAAGCATACCCTGCAACGGTTTAGACTCGTACTGATGATGATTATGCATGGCTGCGAAAGCCGACGCGTGCGGCATCATTCCAGACATGTTAACCTGATTCGGATCAATGACACAAGTGAGCATTTTGGCGAATGCGTGCGATGGGTGGTCTCCCTGAGCACCGAAAATCGTATTCGGTTTCAATTCCGGTGAATAGCGATAATCGGCCGCTTCAGATTTGATCATGTGCGGATGGAGCATCGGTCGTGGCGGCTGGTGTTGATTTTCGGCTCCATTCTCATTTTCCTTGCTCTTCCCACCATCTGGAGACTCGACAGGTGGTGCTTGAGAAGGTGCCGATGATTGTTGAGATGATTGCGGTGAAGAGGGAATCGAGCGGAGTTGCTGGAAGTGGACTGGCGACGGTGGCGACGATGAGGATGGTGTTTGGAGAGACGGTGGCAGTGTTGGACCCACCAACTTTGGCTCGACAGCTTGCATTTGGAAACTGTGAGCTTGTTGAAGCGTACGTAACCAGCTAAAAGAGACAACAAGTTGATAGAGTACAATTTTGAGAAGTACGAGTAAAAGATTTACGAGTATTTAAAGCAAGCGATTTTCTGAATTTTTCACCCTCTAACCCCAACTAACCTATTTCTTGCTGGCAATCAAACTCAAAATAAGCCTTCTCCCAGATTTTCTAGGATGGCAAACACTTGTAACGTGGCAATTTTGCGTCTTATCAGAAAACGAGCTAGTTTTCATCAAAAAATTACGGAAAGTTGACATAAAAAAATCAATTTTGAATTTATGCGTGAGATTACGGTAGACAACATAGTTCCTTGACTGTACGCAACCACCGCTGCGCACCGTACCTTGCAGCAGCGCATGTCCTCTCGAAGCCAAAAAGGGGTTTTTTTGAGTTTAAAAAAGCGTATAAATTAATAAATGATACCAAATAAAGCTTTCAGGTGTGGTAAGTAAGATTTAGGTCTCGAATAACTGTGGAAATTCCGGAAACTTTTGGCTAAAAAACCAGTTTTCAACGCGAAATCGTATATATAAAATTCAACGAAAATGGTTAAAATATACAATTTTTGAGAAAAAAAATCGAGATTATCCTGCAGAATGAATCTAACGGTGCTCCATCTACATGAGGCAGCACGAGAAACATCTTATCGAACCTCATCATTTTTCCAGATAAGCATCTTGTCATTCACATTCGGACTCTCTTATTATTTACTTCTTTGCGACGCCTCCCCCCAAACACGAACATGCCGAAGATAAATGATCCTTACCGAGTTTCTACTGTTTCTTTTTTTTCTCTTTCCCCTGTCATCACCTTTTTTCCCCATTTACTCTCCAAACTTTTATCCCCTTTTTGCATCTTCCTCCTCCTCCTTCTCTTCTCATCCCATCTCCCAAAACACCACGATGACCACCATTTGCCGCTCCTCATAACAATTACAGTGTTTTGAAGGAGAGACATAGAAGAAGTAAGGAGACGCGTATGTGTACGTCTTCTTCTTCATCTTCATCTTCTCGAGAAAGAATAAGAAAGGAAGAAGTGACCTCGGTACCTGTGCACGGCTGTATTGCCTGTCGGCGACGCGCGAACGGTACGGTATGCCTCCCGCCAGGAGATGACACTGGGGGGCCCGGCGTCGCCGCACACACGTTGAAGTCGTCGGGGAGAATCAGAAGGAGAGGGGTTGCAATTTCGCAAATTGTACTTTCCGCTGATCATGCGAAACGCCGAATTTCGATAGACGGAAAATAGATGCGCAGACGCATCAACAGCAAGTACGTGATGGTACCGTCTCTGTGTGGACGATGATGGTGGTAAGGAAAAGTGAAGAGGATCGGAGACGGTGATGGCAGGCCAAAAAAATTGTGTTCCGATCGCAAATCAGATTTTTCTTAAGGGCGCGGTGGGGGATTCCTTTTTTGATTGAGGTGTTTGATTGTGGGAACACATTTTAAATTTAAATTCACTGGCTACAACCTACGAACCCGTTTCAAAACTAGAGCCCAAGGCAACATGTTACATATTTCGAAATTGTTTTCTATTTACACAGATACCCAGGATTCCTATATGCTACTAGGATTCTGGCACGGTTACCTAGGCTAAACTTTTGCGCGCAGTGCTAGTGAAAGTTGGGTGCTGGCCTCTAGAACGGTCATCCACACTTTCATGATCCCAAAAGGTTCACCCAAATCCCTTCAAGACCTGCCACGTGGTGCTCCCGGTGCGCGCTCGCATGGTGGCCGGTGCCACGTCATGTGCGCGCACCACGTGGCTGGTGCCCCGGAAAAAGGTATAGAAAACTCACTAAAGGTAAGCTGGCGACATTTCAAGAACTGGAGTGCCGAACTGAGGCCGCTGACCCCTGAGCTCCTCGGTGCCAGCAGGATGGCCTCCAACGCTATTGGGTGCCCGGGTCGGTACTCCCAATACCTTGGGCGCACTAGGGCAATGGCCTCTAAGCTTTTCTGAGCGCGCGGTCTTGAGGATTCGGAAGTGGGGAGGGAACGATGAAATTTTCTTATTAGAATCTAGGTCGCATTGCAAATATTTAAGAAATCAACTGGGATGCTGTTGTGGAAGTTGTGGATCCGGAATTTCTAAATTTCAAAATTTACAGATGTTCGGAAACAAAGAGCACATATTTAGGTCGAAACTAAACTTATACTTTTATATGTTCTGAAGCTACATACAAAAAATTATCCTTTCTCGAAAAATACTTTCTTCGAAAGAAATGGAAAATTAGGTTCAAGTAGAAAAAGAAAAAAATACAAAGATGCTGAAAGTTTCAGATTATTTTTTCTGAAATTTTAGCTTTAGCTGTTTGTGAAGTTTAATTGATTTTTCCGTTCGTCGAATTTTTCAACAAGAAAGTGCGAGTTGTTGACAACTTTTTGTGCACAGAAAGTGGCAGGTGTTCAAAATGTTGAAATCGTGCAACATTCGTGTGTTATTCTAGTACAAAAATAATGGGAGCTGTGGAAGGTCTCAAAACGAAAACTACAGTAACCTGAGAAGTATTTTCATTTTCCGGATTTATTTTCGGGTTTGCTTTTTGTGCAGTTTTGTGTTATTTTTCCACTAAAGAGTGGGAAAAGACACACTTTTCATAGCGGAAAAACTGCCTGTAAACGGACGAAAATCGAGAAAAAAGATACGGAAAATAACATATTTTTAGGTTACGGTAATTGTAGTTGTGGGACCTTTAGCCACGGACACCGGCGTTTCTTGTCCACAACTCTTTTTTGTACGAGAATAATGCACAGAAAGAGAAAGGATACAAAATTTTGAATTCGTGCCCCAAAAGTGATTTTTTTTCAAATTCAGCACTATCTAATTGGGTTCTGATGCCCGCCCACCTAAATAAAATGCTCGTGTTTGCCTAAAATATCCCGCACCCGAATATTCTGAAAATCGTTGCATTTCAATGATGACCATATAACCTTTTCACACACAATTCAGAATGTTGCATTGAACTCCAACGAAGCGAGAAGACGTGCTGGGGGGACATGGATGCACCTGGTACCGACACAGAGAGTGTCCACTACTATTACCACCATTAGAAAGAGAGGGGATACCGGTTTTTGGACGAGATAGTGGTATTCGTGGGGTGGCCGGTGGTGGCA